CCCTGGTTACTGAGCCTGTCCTCTCTGGACAGTCAGGTCTGTCTGTGTACAGGCCCTGGTTACTGAGCCTGTCCTCTCTGGACAGTCAGGTCTGTGTGTCACAGGGAGTGTCGCAGGGCATGCTGGGAAATGCCGTCGTGCCCTGACCTGAGTCAGCGAGCCCGTCAGCGAGTGAGTCTGCTGCAGGACTCTCTTGTACTGGGTCAGGCTGGCCAGCTGCGATCTCAGAGAGTCCCTGTTCCGGGACACCTCCCTCAGCTCCTGGGCCAGCCGCTCGCTCTCCTCCTGGATCTGCAGGGCCTCGCGAGCCTGGGGGGCCGGGGGGGCCGGGCCGGGCAGGGGCAGGGGCCCGGACAGCGGCGGGGACAGGGAGCGCCGGATCTCCTGCTCCAGGAAGGCTAGGAAGACAGAGAGGGGCTGATAAAGCACAGGTCACACAGTCAGCGCCGGCGGTCACTCAGACGCAGGGCGAGTCCAGAAATCAATACGGGGGCCATGTGCAGAAGGGACACAGCACATAACAACACACCTACGGCCTTCTGAGCTAATCCTGCTCGGCAGCCCCTGGATCTGTGTGTACCAAACACAAGGCATCAGAATCTCAGGGAGGAGCCAGAAAGACAGGCTGGGGGAGGCCATCCCAGAAACAGCAATCCAGAAGCCCAGAGCCTCTTCACACAGACACCTGATCCCCGAGCCCGGACAGTGACGTCAGCGTGCTCAGGAGTGCAATCCCCCCAGCCGCGGGGGAGGCCGGTGGAGCTGCAGGCACCTGGCCTGGACCGGTCACAGGGCGCCGTGGCCAAGAGACACTCACTGAAGGTCTTCTCCATCTCCTCGCAGCGTCGCACCTCCCCAACATACTTTCTCTGGAAGGCATTGACACTGGGGTTCAACTGCAGGAGAGAGAGAGAGAGACTGACCGTCACTGACCGACACCGACCACTCTCACTGTGGATTCTGTCAAGTAGACGACGACGACACTCACGTCTCGGAATTCAACCAATCCCAGCTCTCCAAGCTCGCTCACACAATTGTACGCTGATCCTGATTGGAGGAACAGCTGAGCAAGACAGACCTCT